CCATTTGCAACATCACAGATGGGACTTCAAGGGCATTATGCTAAGTGAAATACATCAGACAGAAAAAGACAAGTACAATTATGACTTCACTTATATGTAGAATCTAAAAAACCAACCAACCAAACAAAACAGAAACAGACTCATAGCTACAGAGAACAAACAGACGATCGCCAAAGGGGAGAGGGCTAAGGGGGGGATGGACGAAATAGGCAAAGGGAATTAAGACGTACAATCTTCCAGTTATAAAATAACTAAGACAGGGATAATGTACAGAAGGAATACAGTCAATAATATTGTATGGTGATGGATAGATGGTAACTAATTGGGTGACCATTTTGCAATGTGTATAAACCACCATGTTATACACCTAAAACTAATACAATATTGTATGCTAATTATTTTTAATAAAAACAAAAAACGAGCTTCAAGAACAATTGGTTGCCGAACTAGGATGTACCATCCAGGATCCCCTTGAGGAAGGACTCGGTGGCCCAGCTGCTGAGAGCCCTCTTCAGGGACTGCCTCGGCTACAGAGCTGTCTTGGCTGCAAAGAGTCACATTACCCAAGGTCAAGCCCCTTCCTAAAGCAACCCACAGGGATAAAGGCCAAGCCATTGTGACCCATCTCAGGACAGCTCTGAAAGGCCATTCTAGCTCCAGAGCTCTTTGTGGGCTGGCTCAACTGCTCCCTTTGCTTACTCCTGTGTCCTTCCTCTCCCTTCCACAGGTATTGATCCCAAGAACACTCCCAAATAAACCTCTTGCACATTAAACTCCACCTGCTTCCTGGAGAACACAACTTGTGTGGCAGGCTCTGACCCGAGTGTCTCCGGGCATTATCAGACAGGAACATTTAAGCACACTTACATGGTTCAGGAGATCCTGTACTTTTCAATACTGATTGTACTCTATCAACTATGCAATATCATGCTCAACCCATTCCCACTGAATATTTTCACATGAGATTATAGACTCGCTGGTAACATTCCCAAGCTATCTTATATCCTCTTTATGAAACAATAACAAGCTTAGGAATACCAGAGTGCTGTAGATTCTGAGATCTAGTTACGTTCTCATTATTAAGTTAAATTGGTATCATTTTATACCTATGTTCCTTTCTTTCTTAAACTGGCGAAAAAGAAATGGCCCCTTCCAAATGTCTCCCACAGACTGAACTGCTTCTAGGCTTGGGTCAGCAGAGATGATAAAAGACCCAAAGAATTAAGTTCTCACTATATATGAGTAACAACTGGAAGAGCCCCCTGCTGAAGCAGGGGCCCTTCTTCTGATGCTACATTCCTGTTCCATAACTGGTCTCCCACCTTTAAGGATAGAATCACTGATCTTAGCCTTGGAAGGTGACTGCTCAAGGCCTAGCCCCCTCATTTGAGGAAGTAAGACCTCTCCATTTTACAAACAATAGTAATAGCTAACATTTAAACCCTTTATTACAGGACAGATGTGGCGGTAAGTGTCTCACGTGTATCAACTCAATCCTCATAACCACACCGATGGAAGTACTATTCTTTCTTTCTCTCTCTCTTTTCTTTTTCTTTTTTTTCCTTCCCTCCTTCCTTCTTCTTTCTCTCTCTCTGTCTTTCAGAAATGTGCACACGCACACACACACAGAGTGCAGGGCGGAGGGGCAGAGGAAGAGAGAGTCCTAAGCAGACTCTGCACTGAGCACGCAGCCTGACTGGGGCTCAATCCCGTAAGCCCAGAGCCAAAACCAAGAGTTGGAAACTTAATCGTCTGTGCCACCCAGGTGCCCTGGAAGTACTACTCTTATCTCCATTGTTGAGGGGAGGAAACCTGAAAGGTTGAGTGACTTGCACAAAGTCACCCAGTTAGTCAATCACAGAGCTAAGGATGTGAACTCAGGTTCATGTCCCAGTCACAGAGTATGCAAGGGATGAAATGGGGGAGGGGTGGCTAAAGTGAGAGTAGATCTTGGGCTTTCCCACGGAGTGATTCCTCTTGCAGTGTGGGTGGTGATCCTTCTGTGGGCCCTTAAATCAATTTAATGGCTCACAAACGACATTCAAAAGAGAGAAAGAAGGGGTGTGGGGGAGGGGAGAAAAGGAAAAGAGGGAAGAAAAGAAAGGAAGAGAGAAAGAAAGACAAGATGGCACTGCACCACCTGTAGTCCAAATAGTACTGTTTCACGAAACTTTGGTTCTGCTGTATCTGTGCATGCTGGGTTGCTATGAAAAAAGTCTTTAACTGTGGGTTGTCGTACCCAAAGGTCATTAAATTTCATTCAAATTCAATCATCAGGAAAATAAAAATTAATAAGCTACCATGCTTTCAGAGGCAAAAATGTAAAAACAACTTGAAAGCCTATCAACAAAAAAATGGATAAATAAATTATTCTCTATCCATATTACAGCTATTAAGGAATGGCTCAGGTCTATACATATTAAACTAGACAGATTGCCCATGACGTAGCATTAAGTAGGAGAAACACACCGCCGATAAATGCATGTGGTAGGATTATATGTTGTACAATCAGTGATGAAGCCCCCAACATACGGGTGAACATTTGGGTGGTGGACTGGAAAAGGAGGGAAGTAGGAACTAAGGAAAAGTACAACAAAGGCAGCTGCCATCTAGCCAGAAGCAGGGTGTACATCATCCAGAGTGCCAGAGGAAACAGAGGACATGAGCAAATCATCCAAGTCAAGAGGAATTTAATAAAGTGACTATTTACAAAGTTGTGGGAAGCGTTGAGGAAAACCAACAGGGGATCCCCCAGTCCCTCAAGGACTATAGCAACAGGGAGCCAGTGCCACCACCTGGGGCTGGAGGGGCAAGTTACTGGAACCTGGAGTGGTGAGCAGCTATATGGAGGAGGCAGGCCATCCATGGGAACCAGCAGGGAGGGAAAGGATTTCTCTCTCCTCCCACCCTCCACTCTCTTGCTGGAACATCCCACTGGCCAACCCAACTGGAGGCCAGGAGGCTAGGGGACCCGCTGATGCAGCCCATCAAGGTTAACTGCCCAGGACTCAGAGTAGGAGAGAGGGGGCTGGAGAAAAGTCCTAATGGGACAAATGGATGATATCCAACACAGAATACTATAACATTAAGTGAGAAGGTAGAATAGAAACTACATCTACAATTTTTCTTTTTACATACAACATTAAATATTTGCATGGATGAAAATTAAAAGGTTGCCAAATGACAGTACTGATTTGCTTTTGTGATGGTATCTTGGATTTTAGTTTATTAAATCCAATATGTTCAATAATAATTACATTAAAAAAGAATATATTTTTTTTATTCTTCGCAGTAAAACAGACCTGAGTTACAAGTCTTGACTTGCTGTTTCTCTACCTTCCTCATCTCTAAAATGGGGATCAGGAGAGTACCTATTTCATAGGGTTGCTGTGAGGATTTAACCAGCTAGTAGATTTTCAGGCCTTAGGGTAATGTTTGGCACAGAGTAAATGCTTTAAGTGTTTGCAGTTGTTATGGTGACAATGTGATATCAAGAGCCTCCCAATGGGTCTACCTGTCTCCATGGCCCTTCTTCAGAGCAAGCACCCTTAAACGGTACACCTGATCACGTTGCTCTCTTCCTTGAAGTCCGTCCATGGTCTCCAGATCTTGCAGGACAATACTCAAACCTCACCCTTGCCGGTATCTCCAGCCTTACCCTCTTCCACTCCTCCCTTCGTGCCTTCATTCCAGCCACACCAATTCCTTCTGGTTCTGCACAAGCACCATGCTGTCTGTCCCCTGTCCCAGAGCCTCTGTTGGGAATGCCTTTTCCCTACCATGCCACTTCCCTCCCTTGCTGACTCTTCCTATTTGTCACTGAAATTTCAAGAAGACTTCCTGTCCCCGCTCCCCCATCCCGCCAACCCCAACAGCTTCCTCCTATTCCTTTCCATCCCATGCAGTCCGTATTATGCCATACTCCAAATCATGAGTGTATTGATTCAGCCATCAGCAGGTGCCTGCCCCGCCCAGGAAAGGTAGCAATAATGACCTTCATCTCTGGACCCCAGCACGGAGCACAGAACCTGCTGAGAGTGGGTATTTAATTCATGATTTGTCTGAGAATTAAATTTATAAATGAGCGAGTTATGTGACCCAATGTCACTCAGCTAAGTAAGTGGCAGAGCCAGAATTCAACGCGAGTTATGTCAGACTCCAAAGGCCACCCCTATCTCCCAACCTTCTGGAAGTTCTAAGGCTGCCTGCCACTCCAGAAGAGTTGCATGCCTAAGGGAACTCCCCAGGGGCACTAGACCAGTTCAGGCCAGAATGAGTTGGTCAGCGGAGACCGGGAGTAATAAATGCCTCCTTTCTGGGAGTAACCACATGACATTTGCTTTATCAAGGGACTTTCCCAAGAAAATCAATTTCTGGAGCATGTTAAAATATAAACAAACCGCCATCCACCCACCCACTCCTTAAAGACAATTGGTCCAAAGAGATCTTAGAGAATTCAGACAATTCCACAATGTTGAGAGCACCACCCGATCACATGAACTTTGTTTTCCCTAACCAAGCATTTTTCTACTGAATTTTTATTTTAAATTTGGCTCCTCTGTGAAATGTGCATCCCCATCCTATACTGTTTCACCCAAGGCAAACCTGTATACACAGCCACAGACGTACTGGGGATTCTTGACCTATGCACCATTTGAGATTTGCTCTCGTGGCTCACGATGATGTTAGCAGAATCCCTTGATAACAGTGTTTATATCTATTTATAACTAACCTATTATCCTATTTTCCATATAATTGGATGCGACTGAGTTTAAAAAAAATTCAGCTGCAGAAGAAAAGTCATGCTCTTATAGAGCAGATGTTCACTCAGCATGGAAAGTGAATTAGCCTTTAACACAAATACCCAGAAATACATCAGCGCTTTTTCCAAAAGCACTGGCGTTAATGTTTTATGCTGAAAAATAATTTTTAAGATAAAGGATATTAAAAATGCAAGGGAGGTGGCCAGAGCTGGTTTTTAAGACAGGTGTTAATTTTACCTCTTTCATGTATGACGGTGCTTTCACTTCGGGCATCGGATTCATTCTCCAGTTCAGGGCGCAGAAAAATGACTCATAATTTATTTGTTCTTTACTGTCTTCAAACCTGAAAATATCATTATAATATATAATTTGACTCAATCTACAGAATTCAGGACCAAAATGTCAGCTTAAATGCTACCAGGAAAACATAAAGTCAGGTTATGTTTTAATGCCTGATATTTTTCTTATTTCTTACTAGTTTTTTTTTTTTTATCAGATTCTAACCCTCAAGAGAGTGAACTCTCTGCGAGCAGAGATCACACACAGCTCATTCACCACAGTGTCCCCAGCACCTAGATTCATGCTGGCATTTAGTAGGTGCGCAATAAAGATTTGCTGCAGTTGCCACAGAAACAAATGAGCTTATTCAGTAACTGAGACTATTTTGTTCAGAGTATTTGCGGGCCCTCTTAATTTAATATGGTTGATACTATAGGTCAGTGAAACAAAATCTCCTTGTGTTTCTTAAATGGCATGCCTTTTAAATTTTTAAGGGGAGCCTAGATTCATTGCGTCTATGCAGTTATTTTTAGGAAAAATAAAAGGTATCTTTATCATTTATTACGTAGCCATTGAAAGGGGTTATTTAGGGGGCACCTGGGTGGCTCAGTCGGTTAAGCTTCTGACTCTTGATTTCGGCTCAGGTCATGATCTCAGGGTTGTGAGATGGAGCCCCGCGTCGGGCTCTGCGCTGGGTGTGGAGCCTGCTTAAGATTCTCTCTCCCTCCCCCTATGCCCCTCCCCACCTCTAAAAGAAAAAAAAGGAGGGGGTTATTTAGATCCACATATGCTGTCATGGAAATATGTTCATGATATATTGTTGAGCAGAAACAAGATTACAAAATAGTATGTAGAATTATGATCTCACTTGAGGTATATATTTATATAAAAAGGCACAGTGGCGCCTGGGTGGGTCAGTCAGTTAAACATCTGACTCTTGATATGAGCTCAGATCTTGATCTCAAGGTCATGAGTTCAAGCCCTGTGTTGGACTCCACGCTGGATGTGGAGCCTACTTAAAAAAAAAAAAAAGGCATAGAAAAATTCTAGTGACAATACACTGAAGTATTAAAACAGTTATCTCTGGGAAGAGAGACTGCTTTTTGCTTTTTGCTTTAGACTTCTCTGTATCATCTGAATTGTTTTAAATTCATAAGAAAAAATACTAAGCCCATTTTTCACTTAAAAGAAAACATTGGCATAAATTTAACCTTAACCATAATAGAGTTTTGGCCATTAAGACCCAGTAATTTCAAACACAATTGATGGAATGACCTGAACACTAAGTGAAATTCTTCTTAGTATAATACCTCAATGTCACCTAGTCGTAATTGCACCACACTCTGCCAATTTTTAAGGCTAAACATATATTGATCATGTCAGACCATTTTTTGAAGGCCAAGACCAAGGCCAAGACCATTGTTCCCAGCACCCTGCCAGGATTCCTGCCCCACTCAGGACCTCCAACTCAACACTCCCTCTCCAACCGGCAAGTGAGGTGCACAAGATACTGTGGCAAGGATGACAAGGGGATAATTACTTAAAAGAAAACCTGGTGATAATAAACGTAGGAAAATAACATACTCATAACCAGTCAAAAGACTTTGTTTTTCCTCAGGAGTAAAGAAAATAATAGCTCGTATTTATAAATGAATATAAATTAGCAGTAATAAGTTAAATGTTACAAGATGAAGTCACATAGACTTGTCAATCTAAACAAAGTAGAATAAACAAGAGTGATCCGAAGAGGAGAAGGGGAATTCGGTTCTTCTTTTGTGTACATTTTCTTTGGCCGAGGATTCTAGGATACAACTCCAATATGCTGCCCCCTACCACTGTTTATCCTCTGGATTTTGGCTCACTCGTCATTTGAACTCCTTGAAAGGACATGCTCTGTTTATGGAAATATTTGTAGCCAAAATGCTGGACCATTATGTCTTTTATTTGTGTGTGTTTTGGGAGAAGAACTAAAACTCAGTCAATTAAAGATGTTTGGTAAAAAACTTTCCTCTAGCATGGAGCCTTGAAGACAAGTATTCCCTAATACTCTGAGTAGGAGCTGAGGTCAGAGAATGAGATCATGTAGGGCCTTTGACTTTCATACTGAGGAAAACTAAGAGCCACTGGAGCATATTGTACACAGAACAGTTTTGGGATCTCCGTTATATCTTCCAAAGATCAGGCTCACTGATATATTGAGAAGGGAATGCAGGCGCAGGGCCAAAGTGGCGGGGCAGTCAACAGTCTTCTGCAGTGATCCAGAGTAGGCATAATGGCGGCCTAGATGGCAGTGGGGGCAGCGGAGGGCAATGAGGAGTGGTCAGTTCTGAATATATATATATATATATATATAAAGATTTGTTTTAGAGAGAGAGAGCAAGCGAGCGAGTGGGGGGAGGGGCAGAGGGAGAAGGAAAAAGAGAATCTCAAGGAGACTCTGCGCTGAGTACGGAGCCCAGTGCAGGGCTGGATCTCATAACCTAGAAATCATGACCTGGGCCGAAACCAAGAGTCAGATGCTCAACTGACTGAGCCACCCAGGTGCCCTGATTCTAAATACATTTTGAGTGTAGGATTCCTGAAGGATTGTACGCAGTGTGACAGAGATAGAGAGACAGACAGACAGAAACAGAGAATGCATGGACTCGGGACAACTCCAAGGGTTCTGCTTGACCAACTGGAAAAATACAGCTGTCCTAACTGAGATAGGAAGGACGGCAGGAGCCATAGGTTGGGGAGAAAAAAATCAAGAGTTTTGTTTGGATATGTTCCATTTTGATGGGGAGGGGGCAGCTGGACATAAGAGTCTGAAATTCAGGGAAGAGGTTTGCGTTGAAGATAGAAATGTGGGAGCCATTAGCATAGAGATGGTATTGAAAGCCACCAGACCAAGAGATTGGATGAGATCACCAATGAACTAAGTTTCTCTATCTGTTCCTACAGTACAGAATTTAATGGTCAGTAAGTTCCCATTACATCAATTACAGGAAACACTTAATTCCAGAGGTTTCAGAAGTATAATATCCCAATAATTTGGGAGCCAATCAAAAGATTACCAAACAGATAGGATCACATCAGACTTCACCCCCATATACAATCCACTATCCAGTCCTGTGGGTTCTACCACCATAGCATCTTTTTCTGGGGCACCTGGGTGGCTCAGTTGGTTGAATGTCTGCCTTCGGCTCAGGTCATGATCCCAGGGTCCTGGGATCAAGCCCCGCATCGGGCTCCCTGCTCAGGGGGGAGCCTGCTTCTCCCTCTCCCTCTGCCTCTCTGCCTGTTTGTGCTCTCTTTCTCTGTCAAATAAATGAATAAAATCTTTTTTAAAAAATCTCTTTTTCTCTACCTCCTCTACTCTCACTAATTCCAAGCCACCATCAACTCTTACATGGGTTACAATAGCTTTGTAGTTTGGTCTTACTGCTTCTATTCTGACCTTTGCTGCAGACACATCCTCCACCAAAATGAACTTTCTAAAACATAGACCAGATCAATAACTTCCTTGCTTAGAGCTCTCCAATGGCTTCCCAATCCACTTCGAACACAAGCTGAACTCCCTATCAGGGTTTATAAAACCCTATGTAAACTGGCCACTGCTGACTTCTCTGATCTCATCTGAAAACTCTCTGTTTGCAACATTCCAGGTGTACTAGTCTTCTTTCTGTTCTCTGAGCATGCCAAGATTGTTCCCAGAAATGCAAGGCATTTGCACCCTCTGGTCCCTTTGTCTGGAAAGTCTCCATTCACATGTTGCTTCTTCAGAAAGGCCTTCCTGAAGTTCCTCTTGCCTAACCGAGTCCCCCTGCCTAAATCTGCATTTGCCCTGGATGATGGCAATTGAAACTTACAGAAAAATTTCTGGAATCACCATTGGAACTCCTATTATCATACGTTGTTACCAATAAGTCTTATATCATGCCTACCTGTTACCCCTAGGCCCCTGGCCTTCTTCCCTGCCCAACTCGTGATAGGTCAGACTCAACACATCTAAACATTTACCCATTTCAAAGGTTATTTGAAAAGAATATTCCTGAGTCAAATGATATTCAGGAAGGATCAAAAGCTGTAAATGGAAGAATACACAGCTTAGAAATGATGTATAAAATTTTTCTGAGGAAAGGGGTGCCTGGGTGCTCAGTCAGTTAAGTGGCCGACTCTTGGTTACAGTTCAGGTCATGATGTTGTGGTTGTGAGATCAAGCCCCTTGCCAGGCTCTGTGCTCAGCGAGAGTCTGCTTCAGATTCTCTCCTCCCTCTCCCTCCCCCTCTGGCTCATGCTCACACTCTCTCACCCTCTTTCTCTCTCTCAAATAAATAAAAATCTTAAAAAAAATTTTTTTTCTGAGGGAAAATGTTTGAAAGATTTGATCTTTCCAAAGACCCAGAGTCAGGCTTCAGGGAAGAGTTGAGCTAATGTGGTATAATACTCCAAGTTTTTATTTTCAGTTCGGAGGATCTCAATGGATATGGAAATCCTGGCAAAAGGAGCAAGGGAGAAAAGAACAAAGAATCTTTCAATTAATAGGGATAAAACTAGCCAATGCTTCTTGGAAGAATTTTTTGCTCTTGGGAAGTGGACAGGGTTGCAGTTAATAGTGATGGATTGATCACAAAATATATTTATCTCCCTTTCCCACCAAAAGCTCACCAAAACGACAATAAAGGAATAAAAATAAGTAATAACCCACAATGACAATGATCGCTAGAGGAAAGACAACAGTGGACAAGAATCTTCAAGATCTTTTGCATGATGGAAAGAAGACAGAGGACTTGTAACTGACTTGGCAGAACTGAGGAAGGGAAGCTAAACTCTAAATGTCCGGAGGCAGGGGCCACTTAGAGATTAGCCAGTGTAGCCCACAAAACTCCCAAGATGCTCAGCAAATGCCAACTCCAGGTGCCAATAGAGGCAGGGACATGGTGTGGGACGGAAAACAAGGGCTGTTTCAAAGCCTGAAGAAAGCAAGGGCAGCTAGAGCCCCAAGTATCTTTCTCTATACTGTCCTCTTCCAGAGAAATCCAACTAAAAGAGCTTCAGTCTGGGGGGGATGGGGGGCTGAAA